TGGTGGTGGTGGTGGTGGTGGTGGTGGTGGTGGTGGTGGTGGTGGTGGTGGTGGTGGTGGTGGTGGTGGTAGCAGCAGCAGAAATGGGAACCTATTCGCGCCCAGTTATGCGACGACGTTGACGATCGCGAGTTCGAACTCTAGTCTCGATGCAAAACAGATTAGTCTAGCACGACTGGATTAATTATAATTGTATTGTTATGACATGTTTGGTCACTGAGGGCAAATAAGGAATCAATTTAACATCCAATTTTCCGCGAAGTTTAGCAGGGCAACAACTACTCGTGCAATGCCCTTTCTATACACCCTAGTACAAAAATGGGTTTAACGATTTTTTCGTTAAGGGGTAAACTAGTTCAGAGAAAAGCGTGCCTTGTCGAATAAATCTGAGGTTGACCCCAATCAAACGGCTAGAGAATTTGCGACAGAGTTCACTCAAACTGTGTTTGGAACCACAACATCAACAAAATTACAAGGTTTGCCTGCCTTCAGAGTGCGGTTTGGTCTAAGTTGGGGGCGATAGGCCTATTTGATTTAGAAATCCAGATACGGAAATTCAACAATGGACACCACTACCACAACCACCGTTACCATCCGCGTCAACAGCAATTATCAGTGGGATGGGATTTCACAGTAACTCTCTACAACGATATTTCGATTCTCCATGATGGTCGATGGACTAACCGATCTTGTCCACGTAGACGCTTCCGAGGCAGGGCCCACGAGGAATGTTCCGTGGCATCGTGGCTCTCACCCAAAGCACCCATTTCGACCGACTAATGTCGGTTCCAGATAAAGCCAGGTTCTAAGAAAAGCAACCGAGACTTCTGATAACGTCCTACGTCTCAGTAATCTGCTTCGGTCTTCTTCATATCGACGATATTAGCTTTCCTAAAACGTGATTGGTGAATCCAAGCCCAGTCGTTCTGAACAGATGCATTAAGCGACTATAGCAAACTTGACCATCAGCACTCTACAACCCTGCTATGCTCCGCAAAATCTATAAAACCGATATCCCTGTCGCATTCACTACTACGCATTTCGAAGTGTGTTATGATTATAGGGAGTGATGATGATGATGATGAGAGACAGACAAAACACACAAAGTCAGAGGAAATCGCTTCTGTTGTACAACTGAGTTGTCAAATAGCAATAGTGGCATAGAAGAAGAGAACACGAACACGGTCACACGACTTCACCGTCTCTGTCTGTCTCTCTGCATCTCTGTGTCTGGCGAATAGATATACACATTGGATAGAAACGCTAACACACCCGCCAACAAGATGTGCGCATGAGAGTGCGTGAGTGTATGCACTGGAAATGGGTCCTCTTGGAGCGTGTGTAGGAATTGGGCCGGGGTTCTTTTGAGTGTCTAAGCCTGTTGAATGATATGTGTAATTAGTTCGCGTGGATGTCCTGTTGCAACGGCCCCGAGTCCGAATGATGGTGGTGATGTGGAGGCGGAGGTGGTGGTGGAGGAGGAGGGTGGTGGCGATGGTGGTGGTGATGAGCTACAAACCTGCCACCACCACCACCGTCAGTACCTGTGCCCACGTAAGAGTTGCCCTCCCCGGGATTGCTTGAACCCCCTGTCGATGCGTGTCGCTCTGGGGCACCGCCAGACACCGTCTGTTGATCGGGTGGAGTGGACGTCGGTTGCGGGCCGACATAGAACCCCCCGTACGCACCGAACAGAGAGCCCCCGTTGGGGGTTCCACGGAACTGAGCTGGCGGGGAGTAGGCTGAGGAAGCAGGCGAGGTGTTCAGGGGACTACGCATTGGCGTCGAGTACTTCTGACCCTTGTTGAAGGTGTCGACGTTGCCTGAGGACTGCGTGGGGGAGGCGGAGAAAGACGGAGCACCGCCGGCGTGATGGGCAGCGCCCGGGTACCCAGAGTGGGGATGCCGATAGAGGGGATAGGAAGAATCACTTCCGCCGCCGCCGCCGCCGCCGTTGCTGGCGGCAGCTACCAGGTCGGAGTTAGTGGTTGGGGCCATGAAAGACCTACCGTCCATCATACCACCGCTAGCAGCTGCTACCGCCAACGCCGCGTAGATGTCCGCGTTTTGGGAAAACTCTACAGGTACATTAAGTCGGCAGATCAATAAAACCAATTAGTGAATCGAATTTACCACCTACATCACCTGGTTTAAAGCGTCACAATTCGGTGGGCCAGGTGTTTAACGAGAAACCAATCAAGTATCTTGAAAAGTTACTACCGGCACACCCTTGCAATATATCAAACAGGCCATATCTTGAAAACGCACTAGACGAAGACTCTCATTGTCATTTGTGTGCGTATGTTTTGTCTGGTAGTAGACATTAATTACCCCCCACCATCTCCACCACCTCCGCCAATAAGAACCGCGTGAGATCAAACCAACGACGGCAGGATGATGCAGGGTGGAGCTGAGCATGAACCATTTGTCAAAACAGAGCGTGGACACCATCACGACACGAAAAGAGCTCCAACAGAACACTTTGAGGTGGCAGTCTCAAGCACAGTCCCACTTGAGCACACTACCCATACGTTGATCGATTGGGTTTCAAGTGGTTTACTTTGCCTGCCGAAAATGACCTTGTGTAGCACCAAAGTGGTTTGAAAAAAGCGCATTACAAGAAAGTCTGACCTGATTGCCCGTATGCTGCGAAGTGCTGATTTTCCATGTACGAAACCCGACCACTTCCGTCCGCGGAGTAACCCAGAGGTCCTAAATTCAATAGGTTCGTTTGAAAAATCGCCATTATTCGATCTCGAGAGCCATTGGCTTGTTTGAAATTAACCACTAGATGGTTCAACAAGCCTCACTAATTTCAGCTATTTAAATCGGAAGCAAAAAAGAACGCTACCGGTTAGTTAAAACCGTTTGAACATTTTTCCAAAACACCGCATTCCGAGTTAAGCAGAGTCTGTGTTCGGGCTGACGATTAAGCGTCGCCAGATTGTCATGCTCGTACAAGTCTGTTCCCCCACTCCACTCCACCACCCCCCCACCGATGTCTACTACTACCAATAAATTTAATGTGCCAGGGTTTCGGGGGAGCATTTCCTCATGTGTTTGTGTGTGTGAGTGCATCGATTTTTCTCTTAGCATGTTGGCTCGTGTGGTATCGATTTTTTGCTCGCGCTGGATGCGGCGTGGAGTAATTTCTTCTAGATGTATTGATTTTTCCAAAATGACGTGGCCACAGAAGGACATTTGTTCGATGTGAAAATCCCAACTGAATGGAAATCTTTTTTGTTTTTTTTTTGAATCCAGACGTGCAGATCGGCCTACCCCAAGTTTAACGAGTAAATACATAGTTAATCTGGCATTTCTGCCATTTTCTTGGATTCCCCTTTTTTGCAATGTTTCGGGAAATAAATTACTACTAGATAGAGCGGAATAACCCGTTTCGTGCCAGTACTGCGATAAGTGCGAATGTTTGGTCAAATATTCATCCAATCGACAAGCAGCACTCACCTGATCGATTTGACTGGTCAATCATTGGCTGAACGATCCGCCTCCGCGCATTGATGAACCTAAAACGAGTGGAGATGAATTGAAGGGGACTGACATCCCCCTGTCTCGCCTTATTGGCTTCCAAGAGCCATTTATGATGTAATTTCAGCGAATGACAACTAAAGGCTACCGTACCAACGGCCTATAAGATTGATCCACTTCTCAAAAACGTGAATCACTGGTGCTAAGTTGACGATGGGAAAAAAGGACCGAGTTACTTGACCATTTCACCAGTAAAATCACATGCCATTAGCAGAAATGAGGGGAAAAACTTCACACACGCAGAGACGCACAAACCCCGTCCCCCGTACATTTGCAAATTAACAAACCCACAGAATCAGCAGTGAGGAGGAATCTGAGAGGAAAAAAATTAATTAGAACGTTCATCGAGTCCCCTCGCCGTCCCCTCCTACCCCCAGCCACCCTTTGCCTGTCTCACCACCACCACCGTTCGCATTGGGATGATGATGTGCCTCGAAAGCACCAGTGTGGCGTGCGGTTGCCATGACTTCGGCTGACAGCTGACAGCGCGTGCATTCAGCGGAGCAGGCAGGCGGATACGCTTGCAAGGTAAACACACGCACGCCACACCTTCCCAATTGTTGTGTGTGTGCGTGTGTGTTGAGGGTTGGGCTGTGAGTTCAGGGGATATCAGTGACACAATCTTGATCGAGTGAGCAGTCAGCAAACCGGAAGCGTTGAGGGTGAGGCGGCGTCGGTGGAAGAGCGTCTCCTTGAGGGATTCAACAAAGAAGAACCCACCACCACCACCTCACCCCAACGAGGTTGACAGTAGGGAGTTTTCCACCCCCGGAATTGTCTGCGCCAGGAAGTAGTGGGCTACGACAGCACACATACACACACAGAGACAAATTCTACTCCCCACGGAAACAAACCGTTCGCATCAGCCTGGTGCAACCCGCTACCGCGTGCTTATTTTCATGCACCAGTCACTTGGCATGGTGTGTGTGTGTGTGTGCATTGATGGCTGAATTTGTTGTGCAACTCAATCCCATTAGAACAAACTACCTGTCAGTTAAAAGGCAAGGATGGTTTTCAGGTGCGCGGTATGTTGGCATACCGTCGTCTCAACCGATGCCTCCCTATAACCGCTCATCCGTGGTTGTATTATTGTCGGCAAGTTAGTGAACGCTTTGAACCTCGCCTTACGCAGCAAACGCATGTGAGACAGGCATCTGCAAGCTATGTGCTTAAAAAGTGAGTATTTCCTGGGTTAGCACCGGGGACATGATTCATTCTATGGAGGATCTAGGACAACGCTGTACGTGGTTCCCTTGCTAATCACCTGGACTTCGGCACTGAAGGAGACTGCCACGATGAATACCTGGATCCTGGACTGTCGTGTGTTGTCTGATGCGAAGACAAGTCAATCGATCAACAGAATACATTCTATAGCTTCAAGCCGTCACCAATCGATAATGCTTCGTAGATCGATACCACCTTATGAGTAGTTGATGCAACTTACCAATTATTGACCTGGAGAATAGTTAACCCTGTTTCGGCAGAAAGCTGTTTTTTCTGCTCCTCCGATGGATAGGGATGCTGGAAGAGAATGAGAAGAACACTTAAACAATATCGATTAGTATTTGACCCACCAGGAACCGACTATAACATCAACACGGGTATTTTATTGTGCGTATGGGTGTAGGTGATTTGTTATTCACAAACGGACCAATAACCGCGTTAATGTGCCTCATCAGCACGTCACTATAACCGTCCAACTAACGTCGAAGTATAGCAACACGGTCCAGTCTCTGTGTAGACTACTAACTGTCTCATTAGCAGTATGCTTATTCCCGACTTTTTATGGGCCTTAGTTTTCAGATTGAAGTAGAACTTACGGAGAGGTGCTGAAAGAGCCATGCACGCATGATGTTGGTGGCGGCTTTGGGGAAGATGCCACGCTTCTTCTGCCGTTTGGCCGATTTTTCGTCGTCGAAGTCATCCATGTTTTCACCTGAGCCAATAGACTTCGCGAGTCCATCACCTAGGCAACGAGACGCTTCAGTGTTATGTTTACAGTCAGCAGAAGACCACTTGCCGCCATCTCGACAGGGTTCAAAAGATGGCAGCAAAACCCTATCTGACAAATGCCAATACTGGCTTATTGATTATATCGATCGCGTAGTCGTGATCGAGGTGAGCTTGGATGACCGAAGACAAGAACGGCAAGCAAGAAGTTCAGATTGTTCGCCTGGTTGTCATTAATTACTCGGCAGCGCCAACACGCATTCCTCCTCCTGTTCCACTGCCTCTTCATCCAATTGCTCGCTCCGTTTCCCTCTTTCTCTCCCTCAATTAATCATGAATTGGGTGCAAATTCCGGGGGAACATTACAAGAGGAGTTTCACTGCCCCTTCGAACCAACCACCACCACCACCACAACCAATCACCGTGTTTCAACTGTCAGTTTTACATTCTGTGTGTGTGTGTGCGTGCGTGGTTTGTCTAGGGTCACTTCTCCGCATGCACCCTTCCTCTGGGCTTCAAATTCGCGCACACACACATACAAAACAAGTCAATTACGCCGAATTGTTGTTCGGTTTAATGTGGAATGCAGCACCTCTCGCGCGTCCAATCAAAACTAGGTAAAACTGGGGAAACCGCCAGAATAGCACTTAGGCGGTAATCACAGGAATCACCACTCAATCATCCTGAAAATCGAAAAATATGGCACACCTTTATTGGAGACTAGAAATCGATTATTCCGAAAGACCACTGGCTCGATTACTCGGAATAAATAGTGCCATAGGTTTGACTATTCAATAAGCAGGCCACTGATGTTGTTGATGTTGCGGTTTCTGAATGAGCCCTGTCTTGGCAACTCCGAATCACTTTTTGATTCGAGTTGAATCTTAACCTTAAGCACGGCGCGCGTCGAATACAGGCAGTTGGTCAGAGTATGAAGAATTTTTCGTGTTTTAAGAAACTGGGTGAGTGTATGTTTTGGTTTTAAAAACGGACATGGACGCAAGTTGTCAAGGCAAGCCCGTTAAAAGGAGGGGGGAGGTGGGGTGTGGCAAGGCGGCAAGTAAATATCGATTAGTCCGAGCAGAACACACAGTGAGGTGCATTCTCCCCCACCCCTCTCCCTCTTTCGTAGTCTTGCCCACAGAACGTTCTGGAGTGCAGGCACGAGTGTGCGCACGTGCGTGCGTGTCGAACAGTTGTCATCGTGTTAGTCGTGGCTAATTAGACACGGGAGGAACGAAGCCGCGATAACGCACAAACACGCACACACACATGCCCGAACGTGACAACTGCTCCTGCCCCTCCCCCTAACTTAGCGTTTTGCCAAGCGTCTGTCTCACATTGTTTCAGTCTCAGTTGTGCGTGTCTTATAACACAAACTACAAATTTGCCAAATCTACCAGGCATTCAAAACCAAGCAATCTCGTTGGTCCAGAGGTGGTAACGTCTGAGTTTCCAATGAAAACCAGGTCTAACTAATTACGCTGGTTTCGACAGTTTTGTAAACATGAAATGGATGAGGGGCAGAGAGAGGTTTAACATTGTGGAATCTGACAGCACAGACGATGGAACACACGTACTCATGCTCATGTACTCACCGGTTTCACTGCCAACTTCGTGAGTCCCTGTGGAAGAGTGGTAGCGTGAGATGGGGTTGGACGCGCCACAGGCGTCGAAGGGTGGCCTGCCGCTCCCGTTGAGGTGCAGGGAGGTCAGTTCGGAGCGGGACCTCACACCGCTCCCGCCTCGACTTCCGCTCCTCGATCCGTCCGGATTCGAGGGGCTTCCGTGGGTGTCCTCGGTGTCTGACGACTTGCGACTGCTTCCGCTGCCGGCAAGGACTGGGGAGTGCTGTGTGCGGCAGACAAAGGAAAAGCAAATAGCTAAGCCAGTGGTTCCCAACCGTTTAAGGGGTTAAATGCTAGCAAGAAAATGATTAATTCGACACACACGCACGTACGCGCGCACCACAGCGACCCTCTGTATGCTAACCCGCCTTCCACGTGTTACCCGACCCGCGAGGTTCCCTGGACCTAGGTTGGGAACCACTGATCTAACGACCCAAGCCCAGACACACAGGAAGCAAAAGGGATTTTGCGTTGTAAAAAAGGGTCTCCCCAGTCTCCCCACCCCATCGGCGGTTTCAAAGGTGTCTGAAATAGAAAACGCAAGTGAAGCGGCACATCGAAAGCACGATGATAACGTGATAAGCCGAAACAACAAAGGCTGAATATGATGGGTGGGCGTGTGGGTGTGTGCGTGCAAACGGAGAGCAGCCAATGAGAGCTGGGCTTGCAGATGACTGGTCAATAGGTCGGTGTTTAAATGCGTGCATGCTGGAGTCGAGCCCTCACTTGCAGGGACCTCGGTATCGCAGACACCCGGCCACTCCTGTGTGTATGTTCTCTCCGGTTTTATTTATGGCCTGCCTCCCTCGCCAAGGGTGAGGGTGTTCTGGCCTCTCCCCTTCAGTACCTCTCAGGCTCTGGATGCTAATGGCGTTCGACTGAACCCTGGTGATGCATTCACAAGTGGCAATAATTCACGAGAACATCAGCGCTCCCCCTCATAGGTCGCTCTCATACAACGCACGCATGCACACACGCCTGTGTGTGTGTGTGTGTATTTATATGTATAACAGACACGTCCACACAGCACACTTCGACGGCCAGTTGTGCGTTACATTTGTTGTTGTTGTCGTTGTCGTCATCCATAACCAATGCACATTTTTGTCAAATAATTGCACCAAAACACCTACGCAGACATGCACCAGTATGGAAGATTTTATCTGCATGCCATCTGTCTTGTGTGTGTGTGTGCACAGGATTGAGCCTTGCCCGCCTGCACTCCAAAACCCTCTCTCCCCTTCCCTCCCATCCGCTAGTGAACTGGGTGGAAAAAAACGACAGCTGTAAATCAGACACCGCTATTGGACCAGAAACGTCAGGCCTGTTTTAAGCTCTGCATTGTGTGGCGCAGGCCCACACACGACAAGCCTCGCAGAGCTCATCTGCTGTATTTCGTCATTTTTAGAACGCGCCAACCACCGACATCTCGCGCAACGAGCTAAAATCGATTGCGTCGAAGGCGCACAAGCCAAAACGCATAAGCTAATTAGCATTATCGATTAGTTGAATATGACTCACATGCGTGCGTGCGGGCGAGAGCACTCGCGCGAGCGTGCAGCGCTGAGAGGCAGAAGCAGTGCAATTGGGGTGCCCAAGATACGTGAAAAAAGCAGCGTAGTTTTAATTATTGCACAAATTATAATTAACCCGCAATTTGCAGCAGCCGTGATTAAGCCGGCTTAGCTCCCACAGCCAACTAAGCCCGAGGGATAAAAATAATGGGTTATTAGGGCAATTAAGTTGACTTCCCACTAATCCTGTCAACTCAAGTTTTCGTCTCAGAGATATCGCCCTGGAGGCTGGCTTAGCACGGTCAAGCTCCCATTTCCCGCCATTAATCAAGTTAACACCCAATCCAACCCCACTACAAAACCCTGCATTCTACGTAGGGTAGGTATACGACGATAAATAGCTAGCTCGAGGAGGAAAGCATGCATTTTCTGTGGAAAAGGATCAGCGGGCAAAAGATATACAAGTTAGAGATGATAGAGCATTGCTATTCACGAAGGCCAATGCAGACACCCTTTGTCCACCACCGCCGCCGCCTCCACCAACGTTAAAAACAGAAGACACGACACGTCTTTTGTGATCAGATAGCTCTATTATTATTATCATTATCATTATTATAAGTTTTGGCGTCGTATATATGCATATATGTATATAGAGTGGCGCTCACGAACATCTCAGTTGCACGGATTTACCTTCAAGCCGAACTGGGCTGCCGCTGCTGCTGCTGCCGCTGCCGCAGCTGTCGCGGTTGTCACGGAGTCGCCTCCTGTTGCGGAGGTGTTGATTGACAAGGTGTCGCCCGGATGATGGTGGTGGTGATGGTGGGAGTGGTGATGGGGATAGGCCCCAGCCGTGATTGGAATGTTCCCGACACCACTACTGCTGCCATTCTTGCTTCCAGCGCTGTTGTACAGCGTCGTGCCTCGTCCGCTGTTGAAGGCTCCACCGAGTGCCTGCTGGTGTTGCTGGTGTTGAAGGTGTTGCTCGGTCAGAAGCGATGTGGTCGTGTATGCGGACGTCGACGGGGCTACAACATCCGTGGTGGCCGATAGATGCTGAAAAGGTGGTCGCAGGTGCCCCATCATAGACGCCTGGGCGGCGGCAGCTGCCGCCGCCGCAGCTGCACACGTATCGAAGAAGGGATGGCCGCCTTGGTCAGCGTAGCCCGGAGGATACCGCCGTTGAGGGTCTTCTGAATACATCGCCGCATACGGGGAAGGAAACGCGTCCGTCGGTGGTGGATGAGGCTCCATGCCCGGAAGGAGGTAGGGGGGACGCATCTGATTTGGCTGTGCGGGGGGTGGAGCTTGTGGACTGTTCGCAGACCCTGTTGAGCCCGCGGACTCACGATCTTCCACCATCAAGTCGGTGGGCATGCGATTGCGAAGGAAAGCGATGTAGCGTTGGCAGAAGTTGTCGCAGAGCTCGTGTACCTGTCGTCAAGGCGTAGGGAATGCAATTTTTTGTCAGATTTTGAGTTCTGAGGTGATATGAATACTTCAGACCAAGACCAGGTTGAATACAGGGCTGAACAATACATTCAACTCCCTTCCGGAGCAGGAAGCATCGCCAACTCTCTCCCTCTACGACTAAGATGAGAATTTCGTCTACTGGAGCACTGGCAACAGCTTTGTGCAGAAGGACGTGTTAATTTCCGGTGCTCAGGTAAACTCAGCAGGGGTGGAGGAGGTGGCGGCAGCGGCGGCGGTGGCAGAGGGCTTCAGGCAGGCCCTGCTTTGAGCTGTTTAGTGGCATTTCCGGAATCGGCTTCCGGTTTGGAGCAATCATAAAAGAAGTCAAGCGTGTCACGTTTTGGCAGCTCTTGACCCACCTCCTCCTCCACCACCACCGCCGCCGCCGCCGTCGCTACAACCAATCACTATGAGCTCTGTGTTTAGATGGGAAATTTAACTTTTTGATACAACCTAATCGTGAGAATTCTCCACTGCTGTCTCTAGATGCCACTAGGCGAAATCTCAGGTTTTCAGACTTAAAAATGTGTGTCTAGATGTCAAGCTGCAGCACGTACCTTCTCGATTTCTATTAGGTGAACTCGTAGAACTCTGATAGCCTGGATTATCTGGAAGAGATGGAGGAAGAGAGAGCTTTATAGATGCGAAAAAATAATTGGGCGAACGCAAATTTCTAAGGCACCAGGGTTTACTCACTAGTGAATCGATTTCGTTGTCTCCTGTTCGTGTTGATTTTTGGGCTCGGACAAGCTAAAACGGAAAGCACACAAGCATGCCATCAACACATAGAGGTAATTGCCTACAAAATTAGCTCCCCCCCCGCAGGATAAGAATTCACCATGACTTGCCGAGTTGTGGAATGCCGAGGTGCCAGCATGCCCCCTACGTAAACACAAGGGCCTGGCATTTAGTCACGGTTGGGAGAGGGACAAAATACCCTCGCTTTTCCCCACTCCTCCCCTCGTCACTCACGCACCCAAATTAGTCATCCTCGAGGCTCCCTCGCACACACTTCCAGTGGAGACAAGCCGGGGATCGACTGTGTTCCCCCTTGAGGCATGTGTGTGTTGGACGATGACGAATTCATGCACACACACACACACACACCCAATTGTGTACGTCGGGTGTGCACTGCGCACGCACGCGACCAAGGTCACGACCACCTTGAGATCAGCCAATCAGCTGATCCGAACTGAAGGCATTACACGTGGTGCTATTGATTTAGAGCGTAATAAATAACCTGGCTTGATTGAAAGGTACACCGGCGCGTGCACAAATACCCTTCGTCATCAATCTGACGCGTTAAATTGGACCGAATACGGCCAGTGAGGCGTGCAATTGTGTACTTGCGAGACAGGCGAAGGAGGAGGAAGAGGATCGAGAGGAGTGTCGCGAGGGGCAACAAATTACACCCACGGCCCTGTACAGATTTTCTAGACGTTATAATTGACTCCGACGCGTCCAGTTAAATAACTTCCGGTTTGCTTAGTCCGCTTCTGGTGATTAGGTGGCTAATTTGCATTATGGTCTCTCGTTTTTACAGCGCAGATTCCTGCAATTCAAGGTCACTGGCGCGCGTCCTGATTGGTGGATTCGGGGGTGAGCCAAGACAGCTGTTAATCACACACACACACCAAATTCAATATAGACTAGTATTGCTGTGGAGGCCGTTTTAACTTCATTGCGTGGTGTCGCAGGGGAAGCGTAGCTCTCCCTCGCCTCACCGTCCTCAAACTGGAATTCATCATCCACCCCAAAATGAACTGTGCCATAGATCAGCCACGACAGTCGACGGCAATAAATTTTCCTCAGAAATGGCGTGAGCGGAGAACGGGATTGCGTGCACCGGGAGCGGGAGAGAGGAACGCGTAAAAAGATGGAGTGAGGCCGTGTTTGGAAACTGGGCGAATGTGAAAGCCCCTACCTCCCCCCTCCCCCACCTCACCCCAACCGAAAAACCTCAGCATCACTTTCCGAATTGATACACAATCGCGGTGGCTAAGCGTGGTTGGAGCTATGTATGGTGCAACCGACACTTTACTCATGTTATCGCCTTCCATAACACCTCTCGAAGCAGCATCTGAGTCATAAAGAGCCCTCAAATTTGGCCAATCAGCTACCAGAGTAACGAAATGAAAAGCTGTGTTTACGAGTGCTCACGCGTTACCAGGGGGACCCCACGCACTCAGTCGGTGCGACTGTGTTTACACAATGCGCGCATATCCCTGTGGAGTACTAGGTGTACATTGTTACGATTTGACTGGCGTAGGTTCATATCCGTACATCCACACGCATGTGCGCGGGCCCAGCCAGTGACCGTTGCTCCAGAAACCGGAATTTGTCCTCAATCTCGGACAAACTGGGGGCCAAGATGACTAGGGATGCGCCGTCATCTTCAATCGCTCTCACCAACACGTTCCAGTCCAAGACCCTCAAAGTGGACCCACGAACTTCCAGTGTGTGTGTGTGTGTGTGTGGAGTTGACTATTGAGCAATGCCAAATGCTTACCTCTTCCGCGAACACGAGAATATCACTGTCGAAGGACTCAGATGACCAGACGTCAGAGTCCCCTGTCGACAGTGGGTTCTGCTGAAGACCGTCTGCTGAAGCGCGTGCAGCGATGCGGTCGCGCGGGGTGCACGTGGCAAGTTCGCATTTCTCGAAGATGAGCGTTAGCAGCGGGTAGAGGGGGTGGCTACAGTGGGAGTGTTTAACAGATGTGTTAATTCACGGACATCAATTCTAACCCAGATTACTCCCTCCCATGACGTTTCCGGGGCATGACAACACATCAGGCCAAATTCACTAATTCTAGAATTTGTCAGTTACTGGTAGTGTCCGTTGTCTGCGGAGTCGAGTGTGCATTTCACTGTGACTGGGACTCGAAGCCAGGCGGTTATCAACATCATAGAAGAGAAAACGCCTAAAGGGTTTAAGCCTGATCCGAGGTGGCCACATGCAGTGGGTGGGGGCAATGATGGGTGCGCCATCTTGGTCGGAGGGGTTGACTGAAAAGTGGGACACCAGAAGCCCTCCCAGCTGCCCAATTGTGTTGCCTCTGATGGACCGTCTAGCCCTCTATCTCTCGCACACTGGCATGTTCTCCATCCCTCTATTCGGTTTATGAGTCACTGATTAGACCGTGACGAAGGCCTCTCATCTCGCGCGTACACATGTACGCATGCGTGCGTCGTGACGTATCCGGGCCGAGTTAATCAGCGGGAAGTACAACGCCGACCGAAACTAATGCAGGCACCTAGAATATGTTCTTTTAATTACACACACACGTACCGTACGCATTGTACAATAAATCTGCCGAAAGTTCGACACATTTTGACTAAGGGCGGTCTCAAAATTCCCTCATTTTTCACTTTCTCCCCTATGACAAAAATTTCTCAAAAAAATATCCGAAAAACTACAAAAAAATCTTGAAAGCGCATATTTTGATTAATTTATTTACGATAATTTGTTTGAATTCACCATCGATTTCCTGTACGTGGTAGCGCTGACTCAAAACAATCGATATGCCTATTCTCGTGGCCGCACAACGGCAAATCACCATCAATCGAACCAATTAGACGAGCAAACGTAAATTCTTTTTATAACTATGGTAAATGTCAAAGTTTGTCAGCATTTTCAAAGTTTCGGCAGGATTTTATGAACTTCAGCTCCAAGAAAAATTGTCTGCAGACTAACAGCCCAAATATTCTCAGTTAATTCACTGTAAAGGGATACCACCGAATTCTAGACTAAGACTTGGTCAATTTTACTTGATTTTGCTATTAAAATCGATTAATTTGATTATATCTGCTTTTTTCTCCTCGCGAGAGCAATAAACCGCGAATTCGCTAATTCACCTTGCATGAATCTCAATCACTAATGTAAAATCGATACGAGGGCAGTGCGTGCGTGTGTTCGTTGCGGCATGATAAATGGGAGTTCTTGTAAACCCCTGGGGAGGGTAGGGGTTGGGTAAAACTTCGCAATTTGACGTGATGACTCAGGTTGGGTTTTAGTTTGATAAAATCAACTACCGCTCACGGCAAGCGTGTTCGCAACCCTTCTCCCCCCTCCCCCCACCAAACGAATGTGCCGGTGGTGTGGGAAGACCAGAAGAACACCACTTATCTAAACGCCTCAAACACACTCAAGCTTGAGTGTATGCCCGATTCCCGGGGCCAAAGCAGATTCAGTTAGGCGCGAGAACAGCGTTCAAGTCAACCCAAATGCCTTACTCATAGATGGCCTGGCGAGAGGCAGTGAGAGGGGGTTGTGCGTAGGATGGGTCGCCAAATTGTTGGCTCGGAGCCGGTTGCTGCATCGAATGGGGCAGCCGCGAGTGTCCGGCAATGGGATCAGTACCGACCAGAGAATAGGAGGTGGGTCGAGCGGAGTAGAGTGGGGTGGTGGTGGCGGCGGCGGCTGTCTCGGACTGGGGGGTTGTGGAGGTATTGGAAGCATCCCCTTGCGTGGGAAAGAGACCTGGTGGTGGTTGGAGGGGGACGGTGGTGTCAGTTGACCTTGAGGTGGGGTAACCACTGGTGCCATGGTAACGCGAGGAAGTATCGTTTGCGGAGCTACTCCGCGGTGTTGGAGTGGAACTGTTGCTTGCACCGTTGAAGTGCTGTTCGTCACCTGTTGCCTGTTCGCTTGTAGGTCGTGCCACTGGATGCGAGGATTCTGATGGCGACGTATTCTAGAAGTAGAGGAGTTGGTGGTTGATGTGGACGTACTGAATGTTAGTCAAACATACACACGCGCACACTCGTACGCATCTTCACCAACACACGAATGCGCGCACACGCACACACTTCAAAGAAGAAAGCAAAAGCCCTCGTTTAGCCAGGGTGTCCAAAAAGAATCCCCTTTCTGCACCCACACACACGCACAGACGGAATGTTGGTGCACTACGCGCACTCGTGTTTGATCTGACATTTAGCTGACGCTCATTATGGGTGCTGCAAGCGGCAGCAGGAGGGGAAAACTAGAGCGCGTGACTTTTTACCCGTTCCGCTAATTTTAACGCAAGCCAAGCCCGCATGACTCCACTCTTAGTAGTAGCTGTCTACGTTGTGGCAATTCCCACTAATTCCTCTCCGTCTCTCCCTCACAAGCACTCACGCGTGGTTTGAGTCACGGCGGGGTGAAGGGGCGGCGGTGGGGTGGGGAGAACGGAAGGGGAAACACAAAACCTCGCCCGGAAGTTGACGTACGCGTCAGAATCGATGTGCCCCACGTAAACATTATTCGGCCCTTGCGTTCTCGTGAGTGTGTGTGTGTGTGCGTATATATCGCTCTACGCCGGCATTTCGGCGTCTGTGTACACAAACGACGCTAGAGGAGGGTCTGGAAGGATAAACGAGGGGAGGCGCAGGCGGGCGGACGTATTGGCAAATTGCATTAACGACGGCGGAACGACGCGTGCACGCACACCGCGCGTCAGCTCTGATTGGTTGCCTGCGTGGATGCACGCACGCACGCACACACTACCGCACGTGCCAGACACGTGAGTGCTTTTTTGTGTGACTTCTGCTCGCAATGCCGTGATTTGATTGAGGGGAAGAGGAAGACGAAGGAGCACGGATCAGGGGGCTGTCAATTGCTGTCAAGTCCCCACGTGTGCATGTCATCAATAAAAAAAGGGTGCCAATTAGCGCAATTACGGGGGGAGGAGAGGCAGAAAGATAGCGGAAACCGGTTCAACACGTCAGTACCGCTGGGATCGAGGTGTCATTCAAGGTCATTAATCTAACGATTCCAAACGAGACGACGCAACGAGTGGAACCAATGGAAACGAAAAAAATCATCTGTTTCGAAACCACCTCCAATCCGAGAGACTCAGCTTAAATTACAAGCCCACAATTGGGTCGAGGGTGTTGGTGGTAGGGGAGCTGTACAGGTGTTGATGGTTCCAAAATTGAAATTCAATAGTTCAAGTCGTGAGTCAAGGAGACGGCCACAAGACGAGTTGGCAAGGTGTCTTTGAAGTGGTGCAGTTTAGGCGACTTCAGAAGCGAAGGAGAGCACGCAAACCGCTGGGTGGAGCAGTGGCCGGCTTGTTGGACACGCAATTATATACATCGTGCCTAGTTTCGTGGACGCTCGAATTAGCTCAAAGAAACCACGCATTTGTTGTTATTTTTGTTGTTGATTTTGGTGGTGATGATGCTGCTGTTGTTGTTGGTTTATTTTGAAAAAAAACGATGTCAAACTGAAGAGTAGAACATCCGGCTAACAGTCGCAATGCCGCCGGGACTCGAACCAGGCCCCTAGGAGACCCAGAATCGAGTCCCGCTAATCATTTTACGACCCCGGCTCAGTTGAAAAGGTCACCTCGGAGAGAACGACGAATCACTGACTTCCTGATTGATACTTCATCTAAATCGCCTCTTTTTAGGGAGGTTCGGTGCGGAATTGGGCGAGGTTTAATTAGCTTTTAGCAACGAACGCGTGGAAGCAGCGAGTGTGCGTAAACACCTC